CTGCCTATTTTTTCTATCTAACTTCTAAACAAAATAGACATATGTACCAACTTTTCGAATGTAAGACATGTAATTACAATTTGTTTTTCATGCACCGCATATTGTTTAACATTTTCAAATTAAATGCTAAGCATCCTCCTTGCAGTGCCCCATTTGAAAATAACTTCTATTGCTACAGAAAAAAGACCCGCCGTAAACACATATGTTTAGGACATTTTTATCTTTTTTTTCTTGAGTTTTAAAGAAACCAACAAATTATCAAGACTTGTTCCATGAAAAATTAAAAATAATCATGGTAATAAACGGATCTATCCACAGCAGATATATGCACATGCCAACCACGTGCTCAGTGGAATAATATTAACGAGGAAATTCGAGCTGTAAACAGATCAGTTTTTCCCGATTTGCTGGAGTGGGGTTAAAATCGCGTTTTTTCATTAATCAGACGATGCGATGCAACAAATAAAAGTAGTAAGTAATATAACCTAATGATTATTACTTAGTAATTTTTTGTCTTGATGTTATTGTGGTCGCATTTATTATAAAATCAATGTTATTCGAACTCTGTGTGACAGAGGAATGGCGGACGAAATAAACACATGGCCGCAGGAAGACACCCATATGAAAAATCAAATTTTCAAGAATTATGGATAATGACAAGAAAAAAGCGAAACAAATGGTTGTAGCCATATTATCAATGAATCAAACGAACACCATTTTCATTGCATTTATCATCTCGTGAATGCTGTAGCTGCGCAGTTCTAACATGATTAACTTCCTCCTAATTAAAACAAAATAAACTTAAATGTTTACTAATTTTGGTCTCTAACAGTAGGTAATTAGTGTGTTAGCACTTTGAATAACTTTGGGCTAGTTTAGCAGAGTATTAAGCGCATTCTTGGTATTTCTTATTTTACACCAGACTAGATCTAATATGGCTTGTACATCCCGTTCGATCCTGAGATTTTGTGTGGATTTTGGTCATGTCGTTTATTTATAAAATTCTGCATCATTTTTCAGTTCTAACATTAAATCTGAATTCTTCAATGCAAATTGAACTGTACTCAATGAAAAAACTGCGATTAAATTCCATTCAAGTAGAATTAAGCTAGGGACTATATTTTGTGGCGGAAGGTTTTTTAGACGAAAATGATCAGTTTTTCCCTTTTGAACTATAACAGTACTGCTATTTTTGGATTCCTATTTTTCCATGCTGGTTGCACACAAAGCTGTTTTTTGGTTCTGAAATGTCTATTAAATTATTTTTTATGAATTCTATTAACAAAATGTGACAAATACAGTAAATATACTCTGAAAATCCGGGAAAAAATTGAGCCAATTTTAACGTAAAATTTACACTTTTTTTAGTAATATCTGAAAATTTACATCATGTACCCCCACTTTTGATGTTTTTTTTCCCTAAATACTCAAGATAACTTTGACCTATCTGCTTAAATTCAGAGAAACATTATAAAACAAGAATATAATTCAAAAATATAATACAGTAAAACTGTACGAACACGGATATTGCGAATTCACGGATATAACGAAGTAATTTTGGATCCCCAGCTATATAAATTTAATGAATTTCTTCTACGGTTATAACGAATTACGGATATAGCGAAGTAATTTCTAAGGTCCCAGCGACTTCGTTATAACCGAGTTTTGCTGCACTTTAATCTCAAATATCGCATAAATACACAAAACTATATTATATGAATTGTAATTTTGAAAGAAAAAAACAAACAAACAAACAAATTGGTGTAGTTTACCAAAGCATTGTTTAAATTAATGTAATGAAATTTTTGTTTCATCCGAAATCACGGTGATTTTAAACTTTAAAAAAAAATCTGGAAATTTCATTATGTAAAGCAAAATGTTAAATAAGTAAGTATATAGGATTTGTAAAGCTATACACACTAGATAATATATGAGAGTAAAACATGTGAATAAAAGAAAAATAGATTTTTTTTCTATTTTTCTTGAAATAGATTTTTAAAATTTAATATTAATGCAGACATTACTTTTTCAGATTGGTGAGCTCGCAAAAACGATTGCCATGTCTGGGAGATTCAATTGGTAATGGAGGGTCGCACTGCCCTTCTGAGCCTTTGGGGAGAAAGGACAGAGCAGACTAACATGACCATGGGGTCCATGTCCTCAAGGCCGCCAATGAATTTCGCGGCCATGTAGAGGGCTTATTGCTCAACACCCCCAACAATATTCAAGGTTAATAAACATGTTTATATTGATTTCTTATTATTTTTTATGGAAAACTAACAGTTAGGTTTAATAAAAATTAAGGAATTTCAATGAATTCAATGATTTAATCTACACACTCATAAATTATTTCTAGATGGTGGAAGAAGAAGAACTTAAAAAGGAGAATTTTGAAGGGGTAGTGGAGTCAATTTCTTTTGACAGGTACATGTATACAGTTAGTCTTACACAGTAGATGAGGACATTGTCAATTATTTTAAATTGACAATCTCAGCAAAAATTTATCTATCCTATTTTGGAACTGAAATTGTGTATTCTTTTTTAAAACTTAGTTTTCTTGGAAAAAATATTGTAAAATAAATTGCGCAGGAAAAAACTTGTATGTTCTATACTTTTTCAATGGCGCCTAATTGGCGATACAGCTTTGTAGTTGTACGTGGTAGAAAAATTGAGTTAAAAATTTATTTTCAAAAATTTTCAAAAATTTTTATTTACATACAAAATTTTATCGAACAACATAAGTTATATGGCAAAAAACTCATTCTCATTAAAATATATACATGTTTTGCTTCCTTTTCAGTTTATAATGAAAGCATGACCTTGAACTTGGTCAAATGACCTTGGACCAAGATCACGACACACCATGAGCAATCTTTGTGTGCAGTAGTAAATTCTAAATTCTAACGTTCCTATAAGAAAGATATGGACTAGACATGTTTGCACAGACAGACTGAGAGAGAGACAGAGATGATTCCTCTATACCCCCACCCCCAACTTTGTAATATTCTTTACACGTCGGACAGAGGGCACAGTAGATGACGTTTTCCAATTTACAGTTCATTGATGAGTTGGTTCGAATTTCCATTCCCGATTAAAGTTGGATTTTTATTTTATTATTTTAGTTGGACTATAAAAGATTTTATTCCATTTTAGAACAATCAGAAAACATGAAAAGCTTAGTTCAACCAAGTGACATAATAAATAGTTGACGACAAGCATCAAATCTTATTTTTTTTAAAAAAATGTTAACCAAGACCCGTTTTACTACACAAAAGAAAATTCCAAAAATGTGGACATCTGATCGGAATCTATGCGGAACGTGTACATATTTAGAAGAGGGGAATAAAATCCATCTTAATTAAATTAGGAATGCCTGTGGATTTGCCATCTAAAATAATTTCCAGGCTACTTTAGACTTCCGTGGCAGGCGAAGCCTGTTATGCATAAATTATCCCATGTTTCCCACTATCGTTGATGTCCCTGGCATACGTACTATACTAGCTAAATAGTGATTCCTTATATTTTCATTTCATTATGAAATAAAATTGTACATTTAGACTTTTAAAATGTAGACTAATAGATTGAAATTATACGAGGACTCCCATGCCAATTCCAATACTCAGTAGTCCTCGCCTACTGACGTCAAACACAAAAGCAGTCGCACGAGATTTACATGCGCATTTGGCCTCCTTAGCGTCAGACACAGAGACAGATGTGCACAAGAATTGTATGCATATTAGGCCTCCTTAGCTACCCATTGACCTAACTTTCAAAGAGTTATCACAGAGAACAAAATTAGAAATGGAAATATTTATACATCATTCTAGCATATACTGTAATTGCAATAAGTATATTGATCACTAAGCTCTATTTTATTTTCAGAAAATCTTGGTTATTGTTCATGAAGAAAAAAGGCCTTTGCATTATAGTGTGTTAGGTATAGATATTTATATACTGGTATGTACTATTCCTATTAAAATAATGTAGGTGCACAAATTTTCATGGGGATAAATGTTATTGATTTGTCATTTAGAATAGTTTCGCAGGCATTTAATTTCGTCCTTTTGTCGAAGTAAGCCTATTCAATATATATAGTCATATAAAATTTCATGTGGGATTTAATTTTATTGACAATTGTAAATTGTAAACAAAGAAATACATGTAAATGAAATTTAATCCCCCATGAATATTTGTGCTTTTACTCTGTTGTAGCAAAGTCAAGAAAACCTGTGAATATACTTGCTGTATCTGTAGGAGCATTGAGAGCCAATTTTCCTCCACTGGGAGGGGACACTGAAGTATTTTGCCCGTGCCTTCCTAGATGGAGAAGTAGTATCTGTCAGCACCTAGATGGCGAAGCACCTTCAAAGCCGAACATTCCCTAAAACTGAAAAACGGGAAAGTACATACAAATTATTATGGCGCTAGTCTCCAGAAAATACGGAGTGGAAACTAAAATTTACTCAGTTGTAAGAATTCATTTTTTTAACCATTTTTTAAATAAAATGTTTTTCCATGTTTTGAATAGCGATGAAGAAATAGGTTTGTGTATGTGTGTCTGTCTTTTAGAGTTTGTATATTAGGGCGTTTATGTGTATTTAGTGCAAGGAAAGATATTCAACATTTTACTTGCAATTTAATTTGAAGGGTTAAAACCCGATTTGATTTCTGCCAGCCAATTTATATGTTGCTTTCTTTCATAAACTTATAACACCATTTTCAAATAACTGAGTTGAATTCTTGAAAACAATTATAAATTGCAATAGAATCTTGCAAAATAGTACTCGTTTATATTCTAAAATCAACATTAAGAATAATATAAAGCATCATATTAAGTTTGTAAACATTGTGTCTCTAGAGCATTAATCACTTCCGGTATCAACCATATAATTATTTCCCCAGAAAATTTTTGAAATTGATGTTTACAAATAAACATTGATATATTTAGAATAGATCATAGAGACACACTGGAGATTGAATGAAAAAGAGGTGGCAAAAAAAAGAGTTCATTGTCAATGGCAGAGGTCGCTTCTGTGCCTCTACATGGAAGGCTATCCCTTGGACCTGTTCATATTCAACAGGTATGTTCATTTATGTTTTTAGTTTTTACAGCACAGCAAAACAGAAATTATTCAGTTAAAATTATGTTAGTTTTATGTTAGTTTTATATAAGGCTAACTCTTTTGAAATCAATGAATTAATTCGTAATTTTACACATGTTACAATTTTGCAGATTGGAGAACTGTCAAAAACAAGGGCCAGTGTTTGTAAAGAACTGCAGATTGTTATGGAGGGTCGTTCTGCCGTCTTGACCCTTTGGGGGAGAGAGAGAGAGAGAGAGCAGAACAATCCTCCATAATTTTAGGAGCACTTACAACATATGGAATATCAAAGCAAATGAATTTCGTGGCCAGAGGGCCTACAATTCAACACCATCAACAACATTTGAGGTAAATGAACTTACTTACTCATATGATCTGAAATTGTTTTAATTCTTCAAAAAACAAAAATAAGAACAGTAAAATCCCTACAGTTTTAATAAAGAGTTTTGGATATAAAAAGAATAACCATTGCAAAAGTCACACATTGACTCAGAAGTTAGAAAATGAGACATGTACCATTACTAAGAGGTTAAAACAACTTAAATTTGTTTTAATAAAAAATAACAAGAATACTTTTACCGGTAATCATCTAGATGATGAAACGATTATATTTCAGGACAGCTTAAAAGAGTGTTTTAGCAATGAATTAATCTTGCATTTGTTGAAGTGTTTGATATACACACATGAAATTACTTGTAGATGGCTGAGGAAATTGCGGTAAAGGCTGACAATTTTGAGGGTGAAATTGAATCTGTCTCCTTTGAAAGGAAAATATATATAGTCTGAAAAGGTAACTGAAAACATCTTTATCATATTTAAGGAATGAAGCTTATTTCAACTTTTGTTATACGATATAACATAACTTGGGGCAGTTTACGCTTTATAAACCGCAAAGCGGTTTATAAAAAAGCGTAAACTGCCATAAGTTATGTTATATCGTATAACATATGTTGAAATAGCTTCATTCCTTATAATTTAATTTCAGTATAGACAATAAGACAATTTTTCCTCCGGAAAAAAGCTCCAAATTGAGTATTATTTTAAAAGTAACGTCAAGCGGAGTAATACGTTTTTGACCTAACTCATTGTGACGTAGGCAAGTTATGTTATACAAAATATTATATGTTCCTCTGAATGATTCAGTCAATGAAATTGCTTGATACAAGTGAAATTAAATTATTAATCTTTAAAATATTAATACTTTCTTTTGGAGCTAAATTATAATTCGGATAAGATCATTCATAAAAATTTCAATAGCAACCTTTATCCAATTGTTAATTAAACATGAACTATCATGATAAGAACTGAAAAGACCCTTTTTCTACTATAAAGCTAGACATTTTACCATTTGTTTTTTAGCTCACCTGAGCCGAAGGCTCAAGTGAGCTTTTCTGATCACATTTTGTCCGAAGTCCGTCTGTCTGTAAACTTTTCACATTTTTAACTCCTTCTCAAGAAAACTGGGCCAATTTTAACCAAACTTAATACAAAGCATTCTTGGGTGATGGGGAATTTAAATTGTAAAAATAAAGGGCTAAGTCCCTTTCCAAAGGGAGATAATCAAGAAAAGACAAAAATAAGATGGGATCATTAAAAGATCTTCTTCTCAAGAACCAATGGGCCATGAAAGCTGAAACTTATGTGGAAGCATTCTGAGGTAGTGTAGATTCTTAATTGTTAAAATCATGACCCCCAGGGGTAGGGCATGGCCACAATAGAGAATCCAAGTTTTACATAGAAATATATTAAGGAAAAATCTTTAAAAATCATCTTCTCTGACAAGAACCACAGGGCCATAAAAGTTGACACCTAGGTGGAAGCATTCTGGGGTAGTGTAGATTCTAAATTGTTAAAATCATGACCCCCGGGGGTAGGGTGGGTCCACAATAGGGAATCCAAGTTTTATATAGAAATATATAGGAAAAATCTTCTTCTCAAGAACCAGTGGGCTAGGAAAGCTGAAAGTTAGGTGGAATCATCCTGGGGTAGTGTAGATTCTAAATTTTTAAAATCAAGACGGGGGGTGGGGGTAAGGGGCCACAAGAAATATAAGAAGAGTGGAAATCTGGTAAAGAACTGCGTCACCAAAGTTACTCAGGTGAGCCATGTGGCCCATGGGCCTCTTGTTTTCTAAAAAATTTATATTATCTAAGTATTTTCTATAGTTAACTAAATATGTATAGTATTGAATTATAATAAACTGTAGTAATTTTTTTGGTTTTTTTATAATAATTACATGCTATTTATGTTTCAAATTACATGTATTACCAAGTTTATAAATTTACTTTACAGTAATCTGGTAGAGATGTTGGGTGATATTGAACAAAGAGAATCCCTCTTCCCCAATAACAAAAATTGTCCAGGGAAAGAGAGTACAGGGGAGGGAAAGTAAAGGGGAGATCATGGAAATGTAAGAATTTTAAAGTTTTTACCTAAAACACTATAAAGATTTTTTTTTTTTTTTTTAAAGAAAATGCACTTATTAAATTCATATATAAATACATCATAAGAAAAGCATCATTGAACTGAATTCTTTCTCATTCTGTATATTTCTTTCTATTCCAGCACAGTCAAACAAAATAAAAAGAAGTAGAAAAATGGATCATTTTTGTATATATTGATTTAATTCAAATTCTTCACATTGTGAATTATCCAGGCCCCAGGATGGATCATGAAAATCATAATCTTAATACAAAATCTTTATGTTGTAAAAAGTATAATTGTAGATGTCTTATATGTAGAGAGTTAAATATATTAAAAAAAAAATAAAATTGATGTACTTCTTTGTTTCAAGATCAGTCGAAAATATCTATGAGAATGTACTCCTTTATAAAAGATATTTGCAGTTGACCCTGCATATATGACATTTGACCTTGCCCCTTTGCAAGATACGTTTGTTATTGCTACTCCTCCAAAACTGTAAACAATAGAAGTTTGAAACCTTCACCAATGTCTTTGACTAATTGAGGAGACTCCACTCTATTCATTGCAAAAGGATTCGTAAACCCCTTCAATGAGTTATTGCCCCTGAAAGTTTTTAAATTTTACAAAAAATTAAAAACTTTTTAAATGAGAAGTGGTAGAGACACGGGACTAACAGCATAAGATTCATTGACCTTTGACATTTATGCAAAGGTCAAGGCCATTCCAAAAATGAGAAATTCAGCTCTTTTTATATCTTTTGTCTTTCTAACTTACACTATCTGTCTTTGCATCTTTAATATGTACAGTTACTCTTAAAACTATTTCAGAGAATTTATTCTCCTAAGATTGACCCTCTTAAAAGTTATTGCCACTTGTGTGGAAAACCTTTTTATCAATATTCCTTCGTAACTGTAAATGATAGAGACATGAAACCTTTACTAGTGTCTTTTAGGGTTTTTAGACACAACTTTAAATTTTCAATACAAAAGGATTTGATGACCCTTATACTTCTTTTTCATGAAATTTAATTTTTATAAAGAGTTAAATATCAAACAAAATTGAAATTCAAAGGTTGTGGAAAAACCTCTAATTGTTCTGAGAACAAAGTCTCCTAGTTAATATTGATATTCTGACCTTTCCTCTTTGGGAAAATGAACTTCTTTTATACAGACTGTAACCTTGGCTATAACTTTTAAACAGCTGGTGCTATGGCTTTTACATTTCATGTCTATTCACAGTGACCTGAGGCCTGTTCAACAGATAGAGCGCTCGCAAACATTTCTATTGGAGGTACAATTGCATAAGGAATTTTGGCAAGCGCTTGCGAATGTTCGTTCTGTTGAACAGGCCTCGGATATCCCCCTGCATGCTATCAATTTTCACCCAATGGTCTTGGGAGTTTGACCCATTTTAAACAACATTGTTTTAAATAGTAGGTACCGCATCTTTCCTATTTCACATGTATACTCAACAAAAAAAGAAACGCATGTTGATTTACTCATCCAAGAAATTTTTAAAGTATATATGGAACAACTATTTTGTACATCATTGGATACCTGTGACCTTTTTAAAGGACAACATGCAGTTTTAAAACCCAAGTGTTGAATTATCTCCCTTGATTAAACGTGTTTATAAAAGTAGTGTTTTTCAAGATTTCTTCTAAATCGGATGTCTATTTTCGTTGATATTTTGGATTTAGAGAAACCATTAACACTCCTATTAAACCCATATTTAAGATTTGATTGCAGTGTTGATGCTGCAATGCCACGCCGAAACAAAGATGAACACAACCAGGCTAACAATGATACTAAATGGAGCTACGCAACAGAAAGTTGCAACTGCATTTGGAATACATGAATGGGCTTTGCAACCGTTAAACTAACGTCGGAAGACCAAGAATTGACCGTTCTCAGGTAACCACACCCAGGCAAGACCGTCAGACCCCCCCCTTTCAGCACCTCATGCAATTCATAACTTGCTGTAAAAACTGCTGCTAAACAAGGACATCAGTGTTTTACGAACAAATCTTGTTTTGTTTTTTTTTTGATAATCCATCGTTTGATGTTGAACCACATTAGGATACCTAAAGGTTCTAGATATATAAGGATGCTTGTAAATTTATTTAACAGACTACCTCAATCAGTGTATAAAATTAGCTCTAAATGAAATATACAACTATAAAACATATATTCAAATGTAAGCCATGCTTTATTGAGATAAATACTGGACAGATCAAAGTATGATGTAGAAAACCAGCAAAAACTGGAATAAATACTACGGAGTCTAAACATAACCGATAAGGAATAGGAAAATACCCAGAAAAGTGTCCAAATAAAATAGATAGCGGAACAAAAACCACTAAACATAACAAACAAAGCACATATGCAGGCAGCACTTGGTGATCATAAAAATATATACAAATAAAACTCGCCCTCATTATAAACAGCGAGTGATAATTCCTATAATTAACGTCAGTGTCTTGACAATTATATATAAATCAGATATTAATATGGCGCTATCCAAACTCTCAAGATGACTGCTGATTGGCTGACAGTGGTAAAATCGGCGATCTGATTGGTTACTACTCCTCCACCACGATTTCTTCAACTTTCAGCAAGAACTCTACAATCTCCTCATCATTTTCCTCATCCTCCAGTGTGTCCGTGTCCACACCTGTCATCATGTAAGCAATTATTAACAATAGTTAATGTATTAAATTTTCTTTCGATTACATTTATTTTTCATTTTTAAATGCTTTCTCCAGTCTCTAAAAAAAATTTACATCGATTCTAATCATTCTTATTCTGGAATATTTGACATTTAATTGTTGGTAAAATTGAAATCATTACTATTTATTTGGGGTGGTGGAGGTGTTAGGATTAAATGAACTAGTTTATTACTAACCTCCTCTTAGCTCCAGTCTCCTGTATTTCATCCTCTCCCATTCCGCCACACATTGTTCTCGGAAATGCTTATAATCACTCATTAATTCGCTTCTCTTCTCAAGAATTTCCTAGAAAACATTTTAAACACAATTAAAAGTTATAATCAAACTTTTTTTAATAGTACAAGAATATAGCGAATTTATGGCATGCAAAGAAACAGTCTGGGAAATACTTATTTGGAGAAGTGGGAACTTACAGTAGAAACATTGGACTGTCTCAATCTGTCCATGGCTTCAAACTGCTCCGTGTACTTCTTCATATTCTTCTTAATGGCCTTTAAAGGAAAACAATTGTGTAAGTGTCAAAGTTAAAGCTTACTCTAATCTGTTCAACAGAAAAGTTTAAGAGTTATAGCTTACTGGAATCTGCTCAACAGAGAGCTATCAAGTTCAAATGTAATGGAATCTGTGCACCAGCTAATTTTACATCAGTTATAACTTACTCTGATCTGTTCAACAGACAGTAGGCTGGGAGGGCGTGGTCGCCATAGTAACTGACAGAACCTCTCCAGCTGGATCTTCTGCAGCAGACGTCCTTGGAAAGACCAGATCCAGTAGGCATTGTCCACCTATAAAGAGAAAAATTTTAGTTATTTGAAAAGAAAGTTACTAGACATGACTTCCAACATGTCATTTTTATCATGTGAATTTCACCTTTCCCCCTTTCTCTGATATTAACTTACTTTGTGTCCCCACCAGCTGACAGCAGACACCACATATCTCCCTGTGGGATCCCACTCCACATCCGTCGCCATAAAATGTTCGGTCTGAGCCATCACGGTGACGTCAGATGCATCCACAAACTCCAATACCCCATTCATACTGCAAACAACATGACAGGGCATTAGATTATCAATTTTCTTTGGAGCATTCTAATAATATAAGTTGCTTTAATGGTTATATTTACATTACAAATTTATTTTTTCAAACTTACTTGCGCAATCCTGCTAGAACAATAAATTGACCTGTTGGACTCCAGAACAGGTGGTTTGCTTGCCTTCTTTCCAAAGTTTCTGCAAAAAATAGTTGCAGTATAATGTCTTGTAAAGTGATAAACATAACAAGCGATGTTTGTAAAACACTTATGCCCTCCTCTCCCCACAAATTAGAATTTTTCCAAGTCCAAAGGGGCATAACTCTGACACAAATGGTGCAATTGTACCCAAAACAGAACTTGATCAAGATATTTATCTGATAAATCTGTATATCAAACTTCATCTCAGTATGTGCAACCTCTGGGAAGAAAATGAACGGAAACTGCAAATAATTAGAATTTTTCTAAGTCTAAGGGACAAAACTCTAAGAAAAATGATGCGATCGTACCCAGAACAGAACTTGACCTACATATACCTCTGATAAATCTGTACGCTAGATTTCATTTCAGTATGTGAACGGTTGCAAAGAAAATGAACCGAAATTGCAAATAATTGAAATTTTTCTAAGTCCAAGGGGCATAACTCTGTCAAAAATGGTGCGATTGTACCCAAAAAGGAACTTGGCCTAGATATTCATGTGTTATATCTGTATACCAAATTTCATTTCAGTATGTGCATCGGTTGTGAAGAAAATGAACGGAAACTAGTGGACTGACAGACCGACAGACAGCAGCAAAGCAATATGCCCTCCCTTCTTCGATGGGGGGCATAAAAATGGTGCAATCGTACCCAAAACAAAACTTGACCTAGATATTCATCTGATATATCTGTATACCAAATTTCATTTCAGTTTGTGCAACGGTTGCGAAGAAAATGAACAGAAACTGCAAATAATTGGAATTTTTTTAAGTCCAAGGGGCATAACTCTGTCAAAAATGGTGCGATCGTACCCTTAACAGAACTTGACCTAAGTATTCATCTGATATATTTGTATACTAAACTTCATTTCAGTATGTGCAACGGTTGTGAAGGAAATGAACGGAAACTAAGTGGACTGACCAACAGACAGCAGCAAAGCCATATGCCCTCCCTTCTTCGAAGGGGGGGCATAAAAAGTGGCATAAATTTCTGAAGGAATGGCAAAAAGGTTGGGTTAAAAAATCAAAGATCATTGACAATTTCTTAACATTTTAGAAAATTGAAATTTGCATTACTTGCAACCAAAAAATACAGTATATGTGGAAATTTTAGTGAGACGCAAATTTAGCGATTTTACCTTAAAAGTTGGTAATTTATTTTTAGCGAGATGTATTTTTAGCGATTTTTAAAAAGCTCACTAAAGAATCTATTACAAATAAACCGATATTAATAATTAGCGATATTAATATTTAGCGATCTTGGCACCCTCGCTAATAATGCCAAAATTAAGTCCTCATTAAAAATTCTACTTATACGGTATACCATTCCAAATTACTAATCTTCTAGTTTGCATTTTTATAAGTATAAAGTATACTTAAAAGAGCATGTAAATG